GGGCTAAGTGTCAGAGGACCCAAACTAAACACAGAATCTATTTTGGAGGGTTTTTTTACACTTTTTTCTTTAGTGAGATTAAACTGCTTAAAGACTATTGTTTTGGTAGCAGTACATATTTTCAGAATCTCAAATTACCATTTTTTCAGTTTGTTTCAATGCTATAGAGACAACAGTCTTTCAAATACATAGAACTTAATTATTCATTGTTTAAAATATACTAAAAACCATCATGTTTGCATACATAAAGGTAAGCATGTCTCTTATTTTGAAATTTGTAATTTTAAGCATTATGCACCCTCATTCCATGTCACCTTATTTGAGAGGCTTGCTACATTAAACAATGTCAACAGTTTGGTTGTTTGCTTGCCTTTAATGAAAAGTTACATGCAACATCAAAATACAACATGTCTGAGCAGAGAGGTGAGCCTGTGTGTACATGTATGTAGGCATTCAGCTTTACTTTCTGGAAATGCCTCCTGACTTGTCACCCAGATTATTCAGGTACATAATCACTCCCATATAATGTAAATTATCATCTGAGGTGCAATTTTTAGGGTGACCAGTCTCCAAGTTTAAATGCCAGACCAAGTGACTAAAGTTAATAGACATAAAGCCATAAGAAGCAATATAAGGGAAAGCTGTATCAATATGGTTTCTGAAAAGAGGTATGGCAAAAATGTCCCTTCATACCATAGTTACATGAGCTCAAATCACCTTCAGAAGATGGAAGAATATTTCCCTAACAATCACATTCTTCCTCTCTGTTTATATCCCATCACCCTTCCTTTGCTCTTGTTCAGAAGCTGGTGCTTGTAATGTCACAAAATATTCCTTCTCTCATCTTCACTGTGAAAACCAGTGACAATTCAAAGCAAACCATTCATCTTTACTCAGAAATCTCTTATTTATACAGGCAGGATCAAAACTGCAATTTGTCTTGTGATGTGGATGTCATACTCTCCAATTGTGAGTAAATTGCTATAATTTTATGAAGCTGTTGTTTTAAAGCAGTGATTCTTCTCTTTCTTGTGGTGCATGGCAAACTCAGTCAATGAAGCAGCTTGTCACTAGCAAGAGCAGAGCATTGAAACACTTTTTAGTTTTTTTTTTTTTTTTTTTGTTCATTACAGTGGTAATTATGGTGGTCCTGTACTAATTAGTAACCAATGTAATATGGTAAAAGTTTATCTGGTTTTGATATTTCAGTGTTCTATAGAGGTTTCTACATTGTGTGCTTATACAGAAGATGCAGACCTTAAAACTATATGCATACTGACAATCATGTTTAATCTAGTAGTTTGTGTCCAGAATATCCCATTAAATAAATAATAACCCAGTAAACCTTGCCAGTTTTTTCGTGGGCAACACTGCCAAGGTGTTCTCCAGTGCATTCTATCATGACCATCACAGTGGCCTTATCAAGTTCCTGCACGTTAGTGTAATTTGTCATGCACTGAGGCAAGAACCTCATGGAATAATATTCAAATCTGATATTTTACATAATGAGATAGAAACTCTTAAGAAAATATATTCAGAAGGCAACCTTTTTTCCCTATCCACAAATCTTTACCATACAGCCTCCTCATTAGCAAGATCAAAACCAGCCCTGTTTGGGATCATGTTTTCCATCTATCTTCTGCTGTTGAATGGGGGTCATACAGTGTTCTTGTAGCAAATCAATGTGGCAGTTTGTGCCAGTTTTCCCATATATGGGGAAGGAAATGATGGACATGTTACTTGCTGCATATGTTACCTTTTTAGGAGGCTCTAATAGCATTTCTTTGAAGTCTAACTGTGGTTGAGTTGTCATTCTCTAAGCAGTAACTGTTTACATCCGCCTAATAAAGTTGTGGATTTTATCAGCTATTTTTTCCTGGAGGATTTCTTTACAGCTGAAGCTGTTGCTGCTGTTGGCAGTGCTCACTTAGGACAGAGTAGTTGGCATACTTCAAATGGGAGAGCTTAATCCTGGGGATTGAGTTGATAGAAACTTTGAGCAGTTCAAGAGAGGAAGTGCATATTTGCATGCCTGAGACAGACAAACCCTATACCTCAGTACAGGCTGGGAACTGACTGACTGACTTGAGCTGAAATCCTGCTGAAGAGTGTGCAGGGGTTACAATGGGCACAGAATTGAATGGAAGCCAGCCATATGTGCTGATGATAAATCAGGCAAACCACAGAGGGGGCTATGTTCAGAGGAGTTTGGCCAGAAGATGGAGGGAATTTATTGTCTGATGCTACTTGTGACTACTGAAGCTGCACCTACAAATATGTGGTCTTGATCCCACCAATCTAAGATGGACACTGAGGCAATAGAATCAGAGCAATGGGAGGCAACCAGGATAACTGGCAGAAATTACAAAGCTGAAGTCTTCTCAATAGTGACAGTAGTAACAAAGGATAATGGCCACCAAAAGAACTCAAATCATTTTTGATAGAAATTGGTGCAGCACTTAAACAGTTTACCCAGACAACTTGTAGAATCTGTTAACAGAGGTTTTCAAGACTGGTAGACGAAACAAAGTTATAAGATCCAGTGTTAGTGAATTACCCCATGCTTTGTGAGTATTAAGCCACCCACAGAATTTCCTCCAGTAGCAAGCATGTCTATAATCATCCAGTCTTTGAGGTGAACTCTCCTGAGGTGTGAAAGAAGCTCTGCCTCTTGTGCCATCACCAGTTCCTCTGCTTAGTAGGACCACAGAGCAGAGCTCTGCCCGATTCTAAAACTCAATGGTGCATTCCTTATAGATGAGTGCCTGAAAGATTGATTCAGGGAGTTTGCCTTGTCTGCATTTATACTGTTTCTTAATCTAGGCTTAATCTAATGAGGTTGCTGACCTGCAGCTGTTACACCCACCTTCATGAAGGAGAAAGAATGAGTAGAGCAGGGGTGGGCTCCCAGCTGCAGGCAAACATGGTTTAACACAGTGAGCTGGTTTTCTCTCTGTGGCTTTGAGCCTTGCTGGCAGGCATTATAGCCACATTTAGAAGGGTTAGGGTGTAAATTTAGGGTGTCACAAGCCAAAAGGCCTGTGTAGGCTAAAGGCTTGGCTGCTGAAATATTTTACACACAGCAGAACAATTCTAATAGCATAGATTTGAAGTGTGCTTATTCTGCTGTCCTATCACAAGAAAAAGAAGATGTCACTTGCAAATTACCTCAGACTGAGCAGGATGGTGAGTGTTGTTCTTCAATGGGATCGAATACTCTGAGCGCTGGGATTGAAGCCAAGAATGAAGTTCTATCTTCTGCAGTGTTACAGAGTTACCCTTTCATTTCCTTGTGTCTTCCAACAAGGAAATAAAAGAAATGAAACATAAAATTTTTGCTATGAAATGAAACATATAATTTAAGGTCAAATGGAAAATTTTGTTTTATACAGCAGGAGTGGTTGGCTTTGGCATGCAAGAAGAAAGAGTTTGTGTTTTGCCTTAATGCAAGCCAATACTTTTATCCAGTTTTTAGTTTGACAACTCATTTTCTTCTAACTAGAAGGGCATGCTAAGAAGAGAACAGAAATTATAGAGCACGGGTAGCCTATGTTAAAAGTAATTGACTTAACTTATCTGTAGAATGGTATTCTGTGTCCACTTCTGTCATAGAGTTTCCCAATGACACTCTAGTCATTTTTTGGATAAATGTGTGCTCCTCATTTTCTAGAAGTCTGGTTTGAGACAATGGGTTGTAATTTATAGTGAATACATATAATATTTAATACAATATATAATATTTTATTATCTTTAATTTATGAAATAATATAATAACTTAGCAAATAAATATATTACATTATACATAGAATTTATAAAATTATTGTCATGCAGACCTAAGACTATTTTTTAATATTTTATTATAGAATTGTGATACATAATAGTTTATAGAATACTATGCCTTTAAAGCAAACAAAACATGTTAAAAAAACCCCACAAGATTCTTGAATGGGACACCCAAAATCAATGAGTAATTTTAAAAGAAAATCTTTGTTTTTCACTTCATTTATAGAGAATACAGATAAGAATACTCTGTTGTCCTTTTTTAAATGAAAATAAATAAATATTTGTGATACTTTTATGTGTTGTGATGAAATGAGCTTTACAAAACCCTGTCAGGAGATTGTTAATTGTGCCTTCAGAGCAGGGTTTGAATGGAATTCAATAGATTAAACACATGTCAAACCACAAGGAGGAAACAAAGTCGTCATTTAGTCAGCAGTACTCGGGTGTGCCCTCAATGAGATAGGGATCCTTTGATGATGTGACTATACAAAACAGGTAGGAAAAAACTGTTTATTGAGTTGCAGAGTAAGGCTAATTTTGGTATTTCTTAATTACCTAAGGTGAATTGAGTCTGCATTTCCTTCAAGAGGTCTTACTTCAAATTGTGGAGGGAAAACCTCCTTCATCTGGGCTGCTGTTTGAGCCCCTAGCCCCCATATGAAGGAAATTAATATACATAAAGTAGAACATGAGAATTAGAAGTGATGGGGTGGTCTGTAACCACCACATCTAATTGCCTTAGTGCGGGATAGTGGGCACATTGTTGATGGGTGTGGATGATAAGATAATTTTTCTTCTCACTGAATACAGGAATTTGCCAACCTAAAGCAAGCTGAAAATGAATAAAAAAGAAGCATGGGAATCAACTAGCATTAGCCTTCATAGTAGCTTCTTGTTTGTAAGCAAATACTAGCTGCTTGAATTGTACTGAAATATTTAGGTATTTTGTCCATCTCACATTTGAACTTTCAGATTTCTTTCTATCACATTTGTGCACACGAACTGATCCAACTTTTAAAAAATGTATCAGTGATTTAATGGAATGAGTTATGTGTTATTTTCAAAAAGTAAATGATAATGACAGAGACTCTCTGTAGTCAGCCTCGGTCGAGTAGGAGGAGCTTACACGATGGACTTGCACACGGTTATAATTGGTGGAGGTTTCATGGCACATTTGAAAGCAAGATCTAAATTTGCTTGTGTTTAATTCCTTGCAGGCTGTTTCCAGCTATGTAATGTTTTTCGGACCCATGAGATGGAAATTGAGCAGTGCTTGCTGGAGTCCCTCCCCCTCGGCCAGCGGCAGCGGCTGGTCAAGCGCATGCGCTGTGACCAAATAAAGGCGTACTACGAGCGAGAAAAAGCTTTCCAGAAACGGGAGGGCTACGGGAAGAAGCTGAAACATGGAAAGAACCAACGAGTTTGTTTTAATCTTGCTGATATGATACAGGATGCAATCATACGTCATGATGATAAAGAAGGTACATATTATTAAAGTTGTATGATATTTTCCTTTGTACAGTAAAAGTTTCAGAGGAAAAGCTTTCTTGTTCTGCTCCTCTATCTCTAAGTAAAATACAAAATACTGATCATAAAGTGATTGTCTCAATGAAATATGCAGGCATATATTAAAACTTTTGCATTGCAACTTTTTACTGAAATTAATAAGGTGTGGAGAGTAAACCTTCAAAAACCTAATTAATTTATTTTGAGATTAATATAAACTAATATATTTCAAAGCAAATAAGGACTATGAATCTATGATTATGCCTGGCCTCTTACATACCTACATGAGCCATAGAATTTAATACAAGTTAGTTTGAAAATTGGCTTCTCATTTTTAGCCAGAATTTGGAGTAAGGGATGCTGCTGATAGTGACACTGGCGTTTCTAGAGCAAGGAAATTGTGGTGACCCATAGTCACACCAGATAGATGGTCATCTTTCTGCTTGTGAAATTATATTTATGTCCTTTTGAAATATGCAACCACACTTTAGTGTTCTGATTTTAGCTTCTTGGCATTGTGTGAATCCCTGGTGCACCTGATAGTAACCTGAGGAATTTGTAGTTTACTCCTCAAAAGTGAACCAAACCTTGCAGTAAGAATCTCCCAACTTTTAGAAGTCCCCAGAAATCCCCATACTGTTGTGTGGTAGGGAAGGATGTAAGAAAAGAACTGATGTAATGTTGTTGGCAACTCCTTTGCAAACAGAGTTTATGTCAGTTCATTGTAATCACATTAGTGTAAAAAGGAGAAACTCTGAGACAGACACACATCATGCAAAGAACCTGACACGTTTCGCCTAATTTTATCAGTTTGATTAGGCACACCTTTTTTATTCACTCCTGAATCTCCATTTTATTGTGTATTTGCTCCATCATTGCTTATCACTCAGGTATAGTCCTATACATTTAGATCTTTAGAAGAAATGAATCTTTCTTTCTGAAAATTATTTTAAAGTGAGTGAAAAAGACATCATTATAATTAAATAATAAATAAAATTCAAAACCTTTCATTCCACTCTCCTGCTTCTAGGAGGAATTATAAACAAGATTTTCTTCCATGTTCTCATAGCCAGCTTCCTTTAAAAACCAAACAGAATACTAGGTATGACTCTTAACATTCTGTAAAATTCAGATACTTTAGTCTGTTTTTTATATTCACACTGTAGAAATGTAGTTTTCTTGTTGCAGAGGTGGAAGGGCATCAACAGTGTTTAGTGTTACATATATTTGGCCTTGAGCTGCACCTGAATCAGAATATAAAGTTCAGCAAGTGCTGAGACTGAATAATGTAAGCAGAAAGGGAAAATATATCACACACACAAAAAAAAAAAAGAGAAAAAAAAGAAAAATGGTCCCCCACACGAAAAACAGAAAAAACAGCCCCACACACAAAAAGAGAAAAAAGACCACACAGAAAATAGACCCCAAAATGTGGCCCCTGGGGCGCTCCCACAACAATAAAAAAATGTGAGATCTCTAGACACAGCGGAGACACCCAAAAGCCCCTCTCTGGTGTGTTTAGACAAAAATGCCCACAGACCCTGTGCGCTGGGGGAAAAAAAATACAATAAGAAGAATTATCATCAAAAAAAAAACAAAAAACAAAAACAAAAAAAACAACAAAGTTCAAACTCACAGACATGAAAGCTGATTTCCTGCTATTGTCACTGAGTGGAACATAACAACCACAAGTCTTCAATGAATACACCTACATTAGAATTTCTATTCAAATTAGACATATGCTTTTGTAATAAATATCACATTCATTTACTATGTTTGGTCGTGTTTTATGGAACATGCAACATAGATTCCTTTCAGGCAAAGCTGTACTGGAAGATGTGGTCTGGAAGTACAGCTAGTGCCCCAAAACAGTAATGAGCTTTCAGTCTGTAAGGCTCAGCTAGACAGAGCCTGGAGTAATCCCATGGAAGTAGTGGGGTGTAGCTGAGGAATTTGGGCTTTTGCTACAACCTGTTTCTCTTCTTTATTTAATGATATTTTACAATGTGTTCAGCATTCAACAGCATTGCATAGGTGTAAAAGACAGCTAAGAAAGTTGTTTTGCAGTTATATGAATGAAATGCAAAAAAATGTATTATAGAAAGTGGAAAGAGGGCACAGCAAAGGGATAGAAGTAGTTGTCTAAGTGAAGTTCAGGGGTTCAATTTTAGTATCATAAATTATATAGACTGGACAGCATATTTTGAAGTGGTGAGTTGTAGTTCTGGTGTGGTACATGAGATAAATTGGATACCATTAATATATATAAAGATTAATTTATAATGTGGCTGGTGCAAAGACATTTCACAATTGAGTGTGGTGAGAATTTCACTCTAACAAATTCATTGTCTTTGTTATTAATGAAAAATCTTCTCCAAAATTACTATAACGGCTGCTAGTGGGCACAAAATGCATTGCTGTTACTGTATGCTAACAGTGACCATTAGTTTGCTCTAAAATTAATTTTAGAACAGGCTTTAAGAAATTTTTTACTAGTGACTGGCTTTGTACCAAATTTATAAATTAAATATATGCTAATTTGATTTATCAATAAGCTAAAAATTAGTGAAATTATGTATCTTTGCTTTTTTTATTAATTGTATTTTAAAATTAATTTTATTTGTAACTGTTCTTTAGTATTTTACCTGACCCAGGGAGATTGAAGGGGAATCCTCCTTCTCTGTCTCCTTGCAGCATCCTATAGTTTCTCTGTTTTAAAGCAATATGTTTTAACTGCTGTTTTATTGGGCCACATCCATCCACACACTACTAGCAGTGAGCATTTTGGGAGATTCTGCAACTATTATTCTCAGTGTTGGCATGTACAGAAGCAGAAGCTGGTGAATAAGTGAATACACTCTTTTTTGACACTGATTTTGTACATCCTTACTGCTGGCAAGGGAATACCTTTTGTTAATTTTTTTAAAATACTATATATTTTTCTTCTGTGAGATATTAAATTCCTAATAAAAATGGACAGCAGGAAATTTGTCTTGCTAGCATCAGCCATATAAATGTACTGCAGAATGGGAGAGGAAGCCAAGTAGGCTTCTGCAACCCATTCCTTCCCACTGTGAACTAGCATGCTTGCACCTACATGTGGCATTACCACATGGATTCAGATATTTTCTAGTACACACACAAACCATCATCAGTATTTGCTGAGCCTGCACATCAGCTGAGATTCATCTACAAGCAATTAGAAAATGAACTCAGCACTCAGGAAATAAACTGAGCCAGTCTCAGTCTGAGTTTCTGCTTCAAATTCAAGGTAGTCAAGTGGATCTTTAGTATTTGGGCCATTTGAGAATAAGGGGTAAGCATCCCTCCTGAGACAAAGGTTCAGTTACTGGCACTGACAGCACTGAGAAACAGTGACTGCTTTAAAATATGTGGTTTTTTGGAACATGAGCTGATAGATAAGCTTGCTACAATGAAAACAGTAGCTAAAAGTGGATGTGACAGTGCTGTACCTGAAATCTAACATGGGGGAAACGAAAGGACTAGCTTTAGTATATCGCATGTTTCGGTATATTCTGTAACTCACCTTCTCAGTCATGCTGCAGATTTACACAAGATGTAGGATTGTCAGAAAATCTTCGTATGTAGCAAGTATCTTTTGTTGTAAAACCTCTCAGTTGTAAAGCAATCATGATGTGTACCATAAAGTCTGCAGGGCTGGCAGGTGGTGCTAGGTCAGGGTACCAAGTGCAGAGGCATCAAATTCAGTCTGGAGACAAAAGAGGTACTCCTGTGAAAATCAGCATTACAAAAGGGAAATGCAGATTCCCTAAACCTATTTAAAGCCCATTTCATCCTTCTGATGAGCAATATGCTGATTCTGTGACAGCATTGTGATTCTAAATAGTAGTGATAGCAGGGTGAGTGAGTGTTAGCATAATGCTGAGTCTCTAGCAATGATTCTTTGTCCTTTTGTAGTGACTCCCCGTTTTAGACAGTCCTCATCAATTCTCCCAGAGTTTCTTCCCAACCCTGCAAAGTTGCCAATGTGACTTTGCCTTTAGGGAGGGAATGTTGGCATATGGTGGCTGGGGACATCCTTACTCTCCCTTCACTCACTATGGTATGCCAGGAAAAGGCGATTTAAAACGAAGATGATACCAATGTCCTACTTTTCCTGCAGTGTTCACTGCCAAGACAGGTCTCCCAGGACTGGGTCCTAGCCCCAGTTTATTGACTGCCAAACAGTTTCATAGCATAGGAAAGAAAACAGAAATCCTATCTCACTTCCCTTCCTCTGATGCCAGTACCTCTAGCTGTTTGAAAGATGTAATATTATTGTGAGATTGGTAGTATCATGATATTTTAAAGGGTTGGAATAATCAATATATTGGAAGGATTTAGTACCATTAATTATTTTAATGAGCACTTTTAATGAGTTGTAATGTACAACGTTATGATAAATTTCAGATATGTTAAATAAAGGGTGTGTAAATGAGCATAAAAGGGGGTACAGGTGGGGCTGGTGCTGATCTGTAATTTACATCTGAACAGCTTTGGGCTATAAAGAAGGCTCAGGGGAAGGAAAACAAAATCTATTCAGAAGAAGAATGTATCTTTAATTTAAGGTGGCAGATGAGTTGGCCATTAGCTTTCGTTAGGAGAATGTCAGAGATGTTATTATAATCCTTCCTATTTGTGGAAAAAGGTAGAAATAATCTGAAACAGAAAACTGAGGCTGAAATTGAGCAGAAATAAACCAATTTTTTATTATTTTCTTTCATTGTTTTCAAATCTTCCAACCAGCTTCTTATTTTTGCATTCTCTTACATTATGCTTGGTTATGCTTTGCTGTCCCTAGCCACTTTTCCCATTAGAAACAGCTCGGCTGGTTACATACAAGATGTTCTGTAAAACAGTGGATTGCACTGACTGTGTCTGGCAAACATCTCAGGGCAAACCTTCTGATCCTCAACAATCAGTTTTAACATTGCCAGCATTGTTTTTGAAAAGC